TGGCAATTATAAACCCTTGAGTAAAGCGGGAGGATGGTATCCTGAGAGTGAAATGTACACAACACAACTTGTCATTCAAACCTGGAAAATAAACACAATGAATCTGTTCTCCCAGGTGATATCTGCCCATACGCTTTCATATTACAGAAGAGAGCTCTGAGGAACTAATGTCAACACTGTTGAGTTCGTTCTTAGCTAGGATGTCTTCATCCGTTTCGGATTTTCAGCTTGCAAAAGCCAGAAGAGAAATGAGAGCGAGAACGAGCTGCATCTGGTCATTGTTGTCCAATACTGACAGCCTGCCAAGCGCTGACAGGAACCGAGAAAGCTAGCCGCATCCCCGCTGCGAAATGTAAGAGCTGTTAGACGAGGAGGAGAAAGACTTTGATGGAAGATCTGAGGAAAAAGGGAAGAGACGAAAAGGGAAGTGTGGAACAAAACCAAAAGCAGAGCAAGGCCGAGTTGAAGCTTGACCACAAACTGAGAGAGAAAAAGACAGGCTAGATCTGGCATTCTGTATGCGCTTGGCTCGGCGAGGTCCGTCTGACTGACAGAGAAAAGAAAAAGACAAGAGGGACTAAGAAAAGGAATGAATACCACACTCTCCAGGGCAAACATGACAGCCCAACAGGGCTCTTTGTGCATTTTCCAGACCAGCTTGCCTGAACTGACTTCCACATGTCAAGTGTCTGTCTTCATTACATTCCTTCGGAAAAGGGGACAATAGCCACGACACTAGACTTCTGCTCTGGATTTGGACGACTCCACCGTGTTTATGACAAGACACGCCGGTTGGAGAGGTGGAAATGTGCCACCAAGAGAAAAGCTTTCAGACAGCTCCAAGGACCTCCTCACGGCAAAGTAAACAACCTCTAATTGTTTGGAAAGGTCTGGCTGTTCTCCAGAGCAAAGTCTGTCTTATCTCCTTCGCCATTTTCCTTTAAAGACTTGTTTCACAGTCCCTTTTATTTCTGGAAAAGACGGAACGACTTGTGGTTAAGGCTTATTTGAACACCAGAACATCATGCTTTGAAGATGCTGAACACAGGACTGGTTATGGCCATCTCCCAATAAAAAGAGAGAACTTGCTCAAAGATACCTGGTATGCGTGTGTAGAGGTTTGCCTCCCGGACTCAGGAATCGGAACAACTCCGGCCTGGCAAACACTGCGGTAGTTTTGCCAAAGCCAAGCAAGAGTCGTGCCAGCCCACCACAGGGATGTTTTTCTGGCAAGGAACTCCAGGATCCATAAAGCACTGGAAGATTTGAGGCTGACATTTGAGAGTGTCAGCAGGTGGGGTCGACAAGAGACCAGACTCCTGGCATAGAAATGCATGTTGCTACCCTGCTCTTGCAAAATATGTCACTTTCTCTGAGCTTCTTGCTTCCTTGCCCAATCTACCGTCTCCGCTCCGTGAACCTCCTGTTAGTCGCTCTGGTTTTGATGAGCTGTCACAGGCTGATGGAGGAGGGTCTGGGTTGCCAGGTCAGGGGCACTTCCATCTCCTCACACTGACAGCCCAGGAGGAGGCCGATCTTTGATCCGCATGGTTCCCTTTAAAAACTGCCACCCCAAACGTCAGTGTTTGGTAGTCAAATTACAACGCAAAGAGGTTGTTTAACCTTTAGGTGCAAATGAACATGACTTTAGTTAAACAGAATGCAACGTTTTAGACGAGAATCCCATACATATGCAGAATAATTCATGCACCAGTGATGCAGAAAAACTAGCCAGCTGTGCAAGTACATTTCTATTAGCTGGGGGGATTTATTCTGATTGCCAACACCTACAACTACAAGACCTGTCAATTTTCACCACAAAAGCCATTACTGATCCTTGCTGAATCAGTTATCATTCATTAACAAAAAACTAAATACAAGCTATAGCCTAGTAGAAAAACTAACATTATTGAAAAAAACACTAAACAAACATTTTCATGTTTTCACTCCAAAACGAACTAAATAAAATAAAGTTTTAGATGAATATTAGAAAATTAGAATTTCACGACCCACTTGCATTAAAAAATAATGCAACCACATAGCAATAACACTAGAGTAAATAAAATTATAACAGTTCAGCAAGTGTACCAGATTAGTTCAGTCAAATGCATTTAACTTTGGCAGCATTAAGATTAAAGCTAAATGATGGAGTGAAAACGGTAACACCACAGTTTATAATAAGGTTTAATTTGTTAACATCCGTTAACTGCATTAGTTAACATGAACAAACAATGACCTATAGCATTTACTAATCTCAGTTAACGTTAATTTAATTTACTAAAACAATAAGTCAATGCACTCTAAACAAACAAGAACAATTAATAACTTTTTTATAAACTAACATGCTGTAAAAAAAAAAAAAAGTTAATGTTAACTAATGTTAAAACATAAGACCTTATTGTAAAGTATTTCCATGAAAACGAAACCAAATCAAAAGTACAAATTTTGAAAGTTAAGTGCACATAAAAACTTAAAACTACCAATTCAAAGCTATAATAATACCGCCTCGTATAAACTTCATAAACACCACACTAGTGTTATTTAAGCCACAGTACATGAGATGGACCAATAACCCAGAAGTCCATCTATTACACAACTCTCCAAAGAGCGTAGGAAGCCTCCGGGCATCCAAACAGAGACGTCTCTAACAACTCCGCAGCCTCCAACTGCAAGGCATGCTGGTCTGGCTGTTACTGCTCATTCCCGTGACCCTCTCTGAAGGCACTTTCAGACTTTCCTCTGGCTTATTTTCTGCATTTGTCAAATGCCATGAGACCTGCACGGTGCCTTTTGACCCTGTCTGAAATTGTCAGTCGCAACGATTCTGCATTAATCGCAACAAAGAGGAAACATAGCCGGGTGTTCGAATAACAGACATCAGCCAAATAGCAGAGCAAGACTTGCTCGTGTTACAACATACAGTACCATTAGCCTGCTAAAACAGGACCTCTATTGTTAGGTTAATTTGCCTATAAATGCCCGCTAAAATAAAACTCGCCCAAAGGGAGTGTTTGGCAAAAAGCAAATAACACAAACACACAAACTTAAGAGGACTGGGGAAGAAAAACCGAGAAAGGTTAAGCTTTATCAGATGGAGAAAACAAACTGCAATGTCTGGATTTTATTTGTTTATAGCACAGACACACACAAATGGCTAATGACTACAGCGACTCAGTCCTGACATGCAGATCTAAACAGTTTGGCACCAGTCCTGGATAAAGAACGTCAGTTTTATGGGAGAAAAAGCTTTGCGTAACAGCAGCATTTCAGTCGATTACCTGCTCCAGAGCAAAGCCAAGCTGGAAGTATTGTCCAGGAAGCAAAACAAAGCAAATATAAGTGTGTTCTCCCTAGTGTGCACTTCACCAGATGGGTAACAAGCACAAAAAAGGCTTGATTATTTATATATACGCACAATATCCTGCGAGCATTTTTTGGGAAACCACATATTAAACATCCTTGCTAGCTGCATAGCATCCTGAGAAATCCCAGAATCTGAGCATCAGCCAATCAGAGAACTAGCCAGAGAAGTTTTTAGAGGGCAGGGCTTTAGTGAAAGGACATGATTCAATTCTTTTAGTGTGGCGGAAAATAGAAAAAATCTTAAAATCATTTTCTGCACATTTAAGGATTTTGAGTAATCAAAATAAAACCAAAATCGCGATATGGCTTAGTGCGATTGCGTGTTATTTTAGTATTATAGATATATTAGTCTTTGTTGATATTTTGAATGAGATTTTATTTTTATATTCAGGGTTATTATAGTTAACTAAAACCATAAAAAAAAATAAACTGTTACTAGACAAATGTTAACTGCCATAACGTTTTATATATTAAAAAAAAAACGTTTCTCATTATTTATTTTTTTTGTTTAACTTGATGTACTAAAATAACAAACTGAAATAAAAACGAATTAAAACTATATAGACAAAAAAAACTAAAACTAATAAATTTGACAAAAACAACAAAATTACAAAAACTTTAAAATTAAATAAATATATGTAAAATCAAACTATTTAAAAAAAATTATAGTGATACTAAAACGGTTTAAAACACTGTTTTTAGTTTATTAATTTGAGTTAGAATTTAAGTAATTTTAGTTTTAGTTTTTTTTAGCAACTAGCTGAAATAAAATGTTTTTATATTTAATTTTAATAAATTTTATTTTAAATAAAGAAAATGTTTTTTGGGTGTGTTTTACGTTTTAGTTAATGATAATAAATGTGGCTCTGTGTTCATTTACACACACACACACACACACACACACACACAAATATACACAAAAAATATTATCAATTTATAATATAAAATTCTTAATTTATTGGTAAATTGTTTATAAATAAAAAAGTACAATAATAATAAAACAACAAAATTACAAAAACTTTAAAATTAAATAAATATATGTAAAATCAAACTATTTAAAAAAAATTATAGTGATACTAAAACGGTTTAAAACACTGTTTTTAGTTTATTAATTTGAGTTAGAATTTAAGTAATTTTAGTTTTAGTTTTTTTTAGCAACTAGCTGAAATAAAATGTTTTTATATTTAATTTTAATAAATTTTATTTTAAATAAAGAAAATGTTTTTTGGGTGTGTTTTACGTTTTAGTTAATGATAATAAATGTGGCTCTGTGTTCATTTACACATGAGCAGCTCATGATCCAGTGTTTTCAGCATCTCAAGTGCGGCTCGTTTGGGACACTTATAATGTGCATTTGAGAACGCAACATGCCCCAATCGTCTTCCCAAAATTGTATTGAGAAGCACTTACAAACAAGAGAGAAACTCTAAGGGCTCCCTGCAGATTTAAATAGCTACTAAATAGTTTTTTGCCAAACTGTGCAACCCTACAAACAAACATAGAAAACCTGAAGCATTGTAAATCACAACTCGCAGAAAAATTGCAATTAGCTTTTCCCCCAAATCGAGGCATTAAATATAACGGTGATTAAATGTTTAACCGACAGCATGTAACATCCATCTGGCTCGGGTCCTTACCGTCCTCGGTCTCCTGCCAGACGATGCCCTCCAGGCTGACGCTGGTGCCAGGCTCACAGGGACCCAGACACTCGGGTTCGGTGGCCAGAGCCACGTCAGAGGTGCTGACGGCCACGGAGCGCGTGCGGACCATGATCTGCTCACACGGAGAGGAGATGTCGCTGTTGCCGACAGGAGCGAGGAGGTGGAGTGGTGGCGGAGCCGGCGTGGAGACCGGAGACTCCATCTGCGGGAGATTACAGAAAGGACGTCGTTAGCGAGTGAAAATAAACTCATAATAGAACCACGTCAAACCATTGTTCGTTAAAACTGCGAGAGGAATCACACCCGCAGGATGATTTAAAAGCATTCAATTACTACTGTATTTTAACCACCATCTGTAATAAATCCATAAATAGCATTATATAAATAGTAATATATAAATATATAACTAACCCACACACGTAAAAAAACAAATATATATATATATATATATATATATATATATATATACACAC